TATTCTTATCTTTCCTGATATTAAATGTGTATTTCTAAAGATGATATCAAAATAAATGAGAATAACAATGATTTTAAAAAACCCAAAATACTATACTTTGAGTCAATATAGTCTCTGAAAGGATCTTTATATTTAGATTCCTTTATTCATAAAGACTATGGTGTCACTTTCCATTTCATTTATGAGTGAATACTGAATGAGGAAATATATATATATATATATTTTTTTTTCCAATGATACCTGAGATGAAGTATAAGACTAAAATCTATGGATGCCATGATTTCAAATTTGACATGGATGTTTTTTTCCTCTCCTTCACACGAAAATACCACAACCTAAATTTCTAGTTCATCAGAAAATGCACAGATTAGAAATGTGGGTATCCTCTACCTTGGCCTCCAAGAAGGTACTTTTGAGTTTTATAAATGTTCCTAAACACAGAACCATTTGGGACTCCACCAGCAATGAAGAGAGATGTTTCTTGTAACTGCCTAAAGTTCTCTTTCTGGTTATCAAGCAAATTTCATTGCTGGTGCCTTGTTTGACACCTTATGAGGCATGACAAAGAATCAATCCTTCAGAAAAAATAGCAGAGTCTTTGATTTGTCATTTTTGCCAAAGGAAAACATATGAAGGAAGAACAAAAATTAGTGATGGCTAGGAAAGCATAATCAGCCAAATCTTAAAGAGATTTAGTCATCTTCTAATAAAAAAAGATGATAAGATGGAAACTGGACACAGTTACTATAAGGTACAGCATTAGGCAACCTAAAAAGTCTGTTCATTCATTGGCATATCTAGGCTTATAGAGGTATAAATCTGAAAGGGGTTTGAGGAAACAGTGTTGAGGGCCTAAGAGGAAGATGACTTGTTGAACATATTGTAGAGCCTAAGTAGCAAATAGTACTATTTTATAAGATGTGGAGCAGCATACTAGTCAAGTACATTGTTCAATGACAGATTACTTGATCTTGTATCCAGTTTCTGCCTCTTAGTAGCTGTGTGATCATGGACAATCATTTAGCCTCTTTGTGCTTTGGCTTCCACTAATTTCATACAGTAGTTTCATAAATACTGTAGTATATAAAAAAGAGAGTATACAGTGTCTGGGACATAATAAGCACAGCTATAATAAATAATAAATTATAGATATTGTTATTATTAATACTATCAGGACAGAAAAATACTTCTTCATATGATATCAAGTCCAATATATCTATTCATAATTCAGAAAAGTTTAGTGAGAACAAAAGATTATAGGCAATTGAAAGTACTATATTCTTATGAACTTCTATGTGTAGTTTTTCTAGTACCATATGCTATCATCAGTTGAAGTTGTTATTTAAATAGCAGTCTATTCAGACTTCTGGCATGAAGGATTTGCCTTTAATGGAAAATATCTATTTCATCTTAAGCATGAAACCCAGTGACCCTGTCTCAGCTGTTCTCCCAGAAGCTGCTTCTGTATGCTGAGCACAGAATAAAGATGTAGATTGGAGCAAATTTATTTCAGATATTATAGATTGGATGCATAGCTATGTGTGGAAGCAGGCCATGAAAAATGCAACCTCAAACCTCCCCTTGAACTTATAGTAATTTATCTTGGAAACATTGTTGAGTTCCCTGAACTGTAAGGTAAGTAACTTGCTCCAAGCAGCTTTAAATCTTCTGTAGGGAGCAAGCCGTTACTATGCCTTGTGCTTTTAATACTGTGCTCCATGGCTTGGCACTGTGAGCACTACCCAACATGCTTCAAAGAGAAAAAAGGAGGAGTTAAGATACAATGTGCCTAGGTAAGATTCTCCAGGAAGTGGAGCTATTTTGTAGATGAGGGAGGAAATTAAAGTGAGTTGCAATGCCGTATTTAAGAAAAACAGTCCTGAAGTACCCAAACAGAGAAGGAATAACTAACTCACTCACATAAACAACATTTTAACTACTTAACTTTATTTAATTGTGCTATGTATAACTATAGAGCACCTAGTTCATGGTGCACACTGCTCTAGGCACTGAGGATATGGCAGTGAACATAATGAGTTAGCTCTGCTCGTAGAGCTGACCCTCTTTATGCCACATGTACTGGGGATACACAGATGAATAAGAGCCAGTTCTTCTCCATAGGTTTGTCAATAAAAGAGAGAAGGAAAATGACAATAAAACTTAGTATGGTTTGCGAGTATGGGAATATGGTGATCTCTGAGGACCAAAGAGTGTTTGCTGGGGAACGTGACTTTCAGGTTGAGTCCGTGAAGAGCAAAGGTGTGTTAACCAGTTCTCAAAAGAGAAGACAACTTTTACCAAGGCACACAGGAGATAGAAGAGACTGTTAGTGACTCAGTGTATCTGCATGACCAAATGAAGTACTGGGTTACAGAGTTTTATACTTTATTCTAGGACAATTGGAAGCTAATGACAGATATTAATCGATATAAGCATATTTCAACTGTAATCCAGAGAGTGAATTGGAATAGAGAATGGATTGGTAGGGACACTGTCACATGATTCTTACTCTGGACTTAAGGAGAGATTTGAAGTTGCAGGGCTGTCATAACTAGGCTCTGAACAAATGAGGAGTAATGTGGTCTCATCAAAGACAGTGATTATGGGGCCGGAAAGAATTGGGCAGATATGAGAACTGTTAAGGAAGTGATTGTCTGGTAGTGGATAGTGAAGGAGAGGGTGGGATAGAAGTTGACTCTAAGGATTCTTGCGTGGGAACTGCGTGGAAGATGATGTCATTCACTAAGACACCGAGGTGGAGGAGGAAGTTCAGGATGAGGAGCTATGATTAGCTCAGTTTTGAACATATTGATTTGTAGTGTCTGTGGGACCTCTAAGTGGAGATACTCAGTATGCAATTGACTGTGGAGACTGGAAATCAAGAGGAAGTTATAGACTGAGGTTATTTGTATGTAAATGGCCAAATCATGGGGGCAGAGCCCTAGAAAATAGTGGTATTGAAAGGGTCAGAACAGAAAGAGAAGACTGAGAAGGAAGGAGCAAAAAGATAAGAAAAAATTAGGATGTATAGAGTCAGAGAAAAGAATGGAAGAAGGGGCAGGTCCTGTTGAAGAAAGATTAAGGAGTCAGTGTAAAATACTAATAAAGGTCACCCAGACTGGTACTGGAATTTATCTATTAGATACAGAAAAAAGTTTTCATTTACTAGCAGGATGACCATCTGTCTGGATCTGCTTGGAACTGTCCCAGTTTATGCTTGTTCCAGCATCATTATTAGCACCCTTTAGTGGCTGTGTTTGGATAATAAATTATATTGTTGTCATTGGTTAGTGAGAGAAGTTTCAGCAGTACATCAAAGATAAATTACGATGGGCATAAGGATGAACTGGAGGAGGGAGACAGCAGATTAGGCAGTTTTTTGAAGGAGTGTGGTGAGACAATTGGAGAAGGAATTTAACATTTGGTGGGTACTGAACTAGATAGATTGTAAAATTTCCTCTAATCCTGGCATTATTCCATAGCCCTGGTTTCCTTTACTATTATGAGTCTCTAAAACCAGTGAAAAGCGAGTCTGTTGCCTCTTTATTGCACACATTATACAGCTATATGTTATTATTTTATAATGCAAAAATTTTATAAATAAATACATTCTATTATTCTATTATATTGAAAATGAATGCCAGTCACTTAAAGTGTCTTTCATCTACCCCATATCATAAAGCAAAAATATGTACTACTAAACTAAGCAGAAGACTCATTTTGTCTTTTAAATTATTTTGAATGATGAAGCATTACCAATAATGATTAGCTGGGGAGGAAATAATCTGCCTCTTGCCACAGATATTGTTGACCAAGGAAATCTAGGAGGAAAATACATGCTTCCAAGTATATTTACACATAGTATGTCTTGACTTTTGGAACTTACAGGATAGACCCAACAGATGTGGATTTAACTGTGAGAGTTAAGCATTTATACTTAGAATGGGAAAGACGCAAATAACATGGGTTTTTCTCTGTGTACCATTTAGGAAGAGAAGTCATAAGAGAGGATTGAAACAGTTATTATCATACATAAAACAGTATCTCAGGACACTAGAAAAGTTATATGAAATGGAATGGTTTTTGAGCCTATGTGGATATTGGATTAGGTAGAGAGCCAACCAAGAGTGTCCAGTTCCTGTGCCTTCCTTGCAAAAGGGTGGCAAATGTGAGGTTTCTTTCTGATTGCTTATTGAATTGATTACTGAAGGTCAGGCCTCCAGCCCTAAGTTGTCCCCACTCTCCAGCCCACTAGAGGAGGACTCCTTTGAGTAATTAGGCACCTGTAGAGTTAAGTTAAGGTGACCTTTAACAGTTCCCTTTTATTGTTAAGATGTAAATGGAAGCCTGAAAAAAACCACAGGGAAGGGGGTAGTTCTGTGAGAGACAATTCTGTTTGAGAAACAAGCTAATGGGAAGCAATAAATTGTACAGGAGCCACAATTTCTCACCATATCTCAGCCTGTGAACAGCCCCATAAAGCATTCTAGAACAAAGAAGGATCTTTCTCTCCTTTCATTGTTTCTTAGGACATTAATAAAAGATTACTCTTATGACTAATTTGACCATACTCCCATTATGTTAACTAGTCACTGTAACTAAAAAATTCCCAAGCATGTTTTAAATGTTTGCATAGTAAACATTCAAATTGTCTAGTAACAAGGCCAAATAACTCACTTAAAGGATTGTTTACCCTTTATTCCTTGAATACCCACTCATAAGACTCACAGCCTACCTTACAGTTTTTCTATCTAGACTCTTTAGTTTGCCTAGACTTTCTTTGTATCATCTCTGTTTCACTTTCTTGTGTGCATTTGTTTTTCAGTAAGCAATGGCCCTGGTTTTGCTTCTGTTTTGGATGCAACCACCACACAGGGCCTGAATGTCCTGCTGCTTTTCAAGAGGAGCAAGAAGATCCCCTTGTATTTGTCAGTTTGTGCAGCAGTCTGGTAGTAGGAAAACTATTGAATGGGCCACAGTTTCAGCCCACCATCACGTGAATGGGACCAGTCTCTGTTCTTCCAAAACATCAAAGTTAAACACTCAGAAAGGAGATTTGGCCAACATGACGCATTTGCAGGCTGGACTGAGTCCAGAGACTATAGAGAAAGCACGTCTGGAACTGAATGAAAACCCAGATGTTTTGCATCAGGACATTCAGCAAGTCAGAGACATGATCATTACCAGGCCTGACATTGGATTTTTACGTACAGACGATGCCTTCATCCTGAGATTTCTCCGAGCCAGGAAGTTTCACCAAGCAGATGCCTTTAGACTCCTGGCCCAGTACTTTCAGTACCGCCAGCTAAATCTGGACATGTTCAAAAACTTCAAGGCGGATGATCCCGGCATTAAGAGGGCTCTGATTGATGGCTTCCCTGGAGTGCTGGAAAACCGTGACCACTACGGCCGGAAGATTCTTCTGCTGTTTGCTGCCAATTGGGATCAGAGTAGGTAAATGTAGATAGTGTCTTTACTTGGTTTTTCTTTTCCATGGCATAATCACTGCATGTTTGGGGCTGTATGGCTTTATAGGTAATGGGCTTTCATTTTCAAAAATATATTCCACACACCCACAAAGGAGGCTTGAAGGTCACAGGGGTGCTGTCAGCAAAAGGCAAGTCCAGATTCCCAGTGGTGTTTCGGAACAGTAGAATCATAAGGCTACAGTTGTAAGAAACCTTAGAAGTCAGCATTCTGTTCATCAAAGTGGGTCATTTATTTCAATAAAGTTGAAAGCTGGCCTTCTGGAAGATACATATATTATGTCTTTAGTGTTCTCATCTTTAACACCAAGAATAACAAAAATAGATTCAGTAGATGGGCTTAAATCAAGTGTTTCAACACATAAAATAATTTCTTTTTTTTTTTTTTTTTTGGGTCAATCATAATTTTTTTTTTCATTTTTCTTTTATTATTCATATGTGCATACAAGGCTTGGTTTATTTCTCCCCCTGCCCCCACCCCTCCCTTACCACCCACTCCACCCCTCCCGCTCCCCCCTCAATACCCAGCAGAAACTATTTTGCCCTTATCTCTAATTTTGTTGTAGAGAGAGTATAAGCAATAATAGGAAGGAACAAGGGTTTTGCTGGTTGAGATAAGGATAGCTATACAGGGCATTGACTCACATTGAGTCAATCTGGAAGATACATATATTATGTCTTTAGTGTTCTCATCTTTAACACCAAGAATAACAAAAATAGATTCAGTAGATGGGCTTAAATCAAGTGTTTCAACACATAAAATAATTTCTTAGATCCTTTCCATGACGTTAATAGTCTCTTCTTCTACGTGCCACACCTTTCTATCAAAATACTTGCTAGACATTTCATCTGAAAGACCATACAGAACCCCAAACTCTACATGCCTCAGACTGAAAACACCATCTTCCCCTCTATTCCTACTCTTCCATCCATCCAATACCTCAAGCCAGAATCTGGGCGTCATCCTTGACTGCTCCGTGGTTTGGTCTTCACATCCAACTAATTTCCAAGTCCCACCCCTTTCTTCTCAAAACACCTCAAATCTGTTCACTTTTCTCTGCTTGTATTGCTATTGCCTCAGTTTCATTTCTCACTTATATGACTGTAGCAGCCTGCTAAGTAGCATCCTGCCTCTAGTCTCTTCAGGACCATTCCAATTTTCACTGTGGCCAAATAGACAAAACTCTGATATGTCACTCCCCTGATTAAAGTTCTTCAATGACCTGCAAGACTTCAAAGTGAAGAAAGGCCGTTTGCCATACACTTTCTACAACACCTGCTCTTTACCCTTGCCCTCTGTTCTTGGTTGAGGTGGCTGGAAGTATAAGCCTTGCCTTGAACATGGAAGTTTTTACATGTCTCCAGCCCTTTGAAATCACGGTACTAGACTCCTAAAGGTTAACCCAGGCATCATTTATCCCAACTCCAGCCATCCTGGACCCAGTCTGCCTACTGATTCATACTCATCTTTGTAGTTCTTCAGGAAAGTAGTCTTTATCTACCCCACTCAACCTGGTTTTAGTCAGGTGTCTTCTTCTGTTCTTATTTCTATTAAAACCTTTATACCAGGAGTATAAGAATGACTATTATCAGAGATAATATTTTTGAATACTTGCTCTGTTAAGCATTTATATATTATCTCACTTAATATACCTAAGAACTTATTGTGATAAGGGTTGTTACTGTTACCCCTATTTTACATTCAGTGGCACAAGGCTTTGAGAAGTCAAGGAACTCACACAGTGAAGTCTTGAGATATGGAGTGGGAACTGAGTCCTGGTAGTCTGACTTGAGAGCCAAATAGATGCCTTAACCCAGTTTTATTACAATAGTGTGTTTATGAGGGCAGAAGACTGGGTCGTTTGCCTGTTTATCCCTTTGATATCTGACACAACAACTAAATGTTGAGTGAGAAAAGTGAATGGATCCATCTCCCAAACTTCAGCTGTGCCCTGTTTTTTTTTTTGGTGGTGGTACTAGGGTTTGAACTTAGGACTTCACCTTGGTTAGGCAGGCACTCTATTGCTTGACACCTTTAGTGCTTTTTGTTCTGGTTATTGTGGCTGGCTTTTTGTCCAGGCCAGCCTGGAATGAGATCCTCCCATTTTACACTTCCTGCCTTGGCTAAGGTGGCAGGAATGCCACAGATATTCATTGAGATGGTATCTCTCAAACTTTTTGCCCAGGCTGACCTCTAACTGTGATCCTTCCCAATCTCAGTCTCCCAAGTAGCTAGGATTCTAGGCATGAACCGTCTGTACCTCACTCACAGTGATATTTTTATTGAGTTTTTTAATGCTTCATGAGAAGACACAGGTTTAACTTATAAAATATGCCAGAGCACCTTTCCAATAACATTAAAAAGAATTCTAGGGTGTCTCCTCATTTTTCACTCCTCCTCTCTTAAGAATATTAGTAGTATAGGATGCCTTAGCAATCATTGATTATTTTCTGAGTGATAAATTGGGACACAGCAAACCAGCCCTGAAAAGGTATTTGAATGCTTTAACATTATCAGTCTAGAGTTTGGTCAAGTCTGCACCTGAACCAATCATAACGGTATGGAATAACATATAAATATCATATATCATAATTAATGATGAGTTTCTCATTACATTGCTGCACTAATGAAAAATAACATCAACAAACATTTGGTGAGTATAGACTTTGTGCCAAGGCTTATACTAAGGCACTGAGGACAATGACCAGAACACACGGTCTCTGTCAGTGAACACCCCATCGTGCAGCTCATTGGCCAGCAATGAACACATAAACAACTAGCCCCCATCTACCACAGCACAATTACGTTTGAGACACATGGACCATTGGCATAGGACATCAGTGTTAAACTAGAGGGAACAGTTGTTCTCCTGAGAATAGTACATTAACATTTTGGATTTTGAGGCCGGAAGGTGTTGAGGAGTTTAGAGAACAGTCATGCTGACGTCATTTGTGCTAAGTAGTTATTAGTGTTCTAGAACTTCCATCTGCTAACATGGGTGATGCAAAGAGCACCAGTGAGTAGTGATATGCACATAAAGAAATGAACCACAGTAAACTACTTTATTTTGTATTAGAATTTGGTCTGTATATACATATATACAAAATGTGTCATGAAGAAATTAGCAGTAACAGATCTCCAAGGTGAGACTCAGTTTCCTTATCTGTGAAGTAGGGGTGATAATGAGGTCTCTATGTGGTTGGGAGGATTGAATGAAATAATGCATCCAAGTGCACAGTAAGCACTCAATCATTACACATTGGCTGATGGTGTTATTACTAATATTTTAAAAGGCTCCACTACAAAAGTAATAGAGCACAGATAGCAAGTAAATCAGAACTGGGAAACAGGAGTATAATATTCAAAAATGGGAAGGGGACTATAAGTGTTACCTGCCCACCCACTTGTCCTAAGCACCTGATTGCTTTCTCCTCAGACATGCTTCCTGAAACACAGACCCAGCCCAAATGGGTCCTAAAAGGCCTGGAAGAGTTGGCACAGCTTTTCAAAGAGATTGCATCTATCTCGTTGGGGGTCCAGATGACTGGGAAGCAATTTGAATGTCTTATGTGAAAATTTACTAAGATTAAAATGGTTAATACTTATTAAAGTGATGTGAATTTCATTCATCTAGACCAGACACATGAACAAAAGTACAGAACAGCAAATGACTGCATGGCTGTGTGCAGAGCTCTGTCCATTCAGGTTCAGTGTCAGAAACAGAGGCACAGACAGCATTTGGACTACAGGAACAGAACTGGCCTCATCAGAGAGTTGTCTGGCTTCTGTCTTTTCTGAGGCTGCAGGGTTGAACTGAAATGAGTTAGATGAAATGAGCACCCACATATTCATTCACAAAATTAGCCTGCCCCTCCCGAGTCAGCAGAATTTACATTCCAGCTCACCAGCTTGGAGACTTAAGGGGACACTATTGTTCAACCAGCCCATTGATCTTTCTCATCTAAACTCATATCAACATTGGCAAGAATTCACAATTTTCCCATTAAGACCTGATCAAAAATAAATCCATTGCTTACTTGCTTCTTTCTGACCCATAGACTTGCACCTGATCATTTGACCTGATTTGCCATGAATACTCTAGTGCTGCAGAAGAAGATACAAATAGACAGGGCACATCTATTTTTTTCTGGATTTTACTCAGTTGGAAAAAAAGTAGTTACACTTGACCAAGTTATTTTACTTTTTGGAATCTCAATTTCTCAAGTGGAAATGAACAAAATACTAGACTTTTGGGGTTGCTACAAGGATTAACCTCAATTACCCTAGTTGGTGGTGTCTATGAGGCAGAAGAGGATAATGATTAAATGCAGACTCTGAAGCCAGATGGTCAGCTTTAAATCCCAGCTGCCTCCTAACTGGCCCTGCACATTACATGTTGGTTAAACCCATACCGCCCCCCTCCGGTTTTTTCCTTATAACGTGGGGGCAATGATGATCAGAGCACTAGTTGGTCCTCATAAATAGTTGTTTCTTATGTAAAAAAAGATCAAAGCAGGCAAATCTCTAGGATACTGGATCACAAGATGTACTTTCTAAGGGCAGAAGCATTTGATGCCATTATCAACATTCTTCCACCTAGAAAATTATAATAAAAAGTATGGTTGAGACCTCAAGCTACCTTGCTCCTAAGTTCTTTGTGATAGATTGTTCAATTGTGGCTGGGAGGCTCTGAGAACTCACTTCATTTTAATGCCCCTACCTATTGTTTATCATATCGTGAGGATAAAGAACTGCATTTTGGGGAATCCAGATTATAAAAGCTCCATAACACACTACAATAATATCCTTCAGTGCTGTGTGTAGACCACCCTTCCCCCATGCCAGCACGTTGATGGAGGAAAAACAACGGAAGATGCCTTGCAAGTCAGAGCATGTGGAGTTACAAGGGACATTCTTTTGTCAGTATGTTCTTTGTTTCTTACATTTATTTTTTTATTTTATCTATT